AAGAGAATATGAAAAATAAAAGAATGATTCCTCCTTTTATTAGTCAACAGGACTAGTTACTTCAAAAAGGAAATTAAAAGGATGAGTAGAACTGGATTTCTCATAGACCTCTCCATGACACCTTCATGACATACTGGCCAGGTGCATTCATTGACTTAGGACACTTGTCTCCATTTGGTGGCACCTAGTTTTTACAAGTTCATGAGAGTACATAAGAAATTTTCATAACAAATAAAACCTGATAGAAATTTCCTAGGAATGATTAGCAAATAAATAAATAAATAAATGTAAGCTAAAACATCAAGTTATTGTACTTTAGCAGATAGGATGAACTCAGTGATATTCCCATTTTGAATAGAAACTATATTTTTGCAATTTTATGTCTTTCCTTAACATGAGTGAGGTTCTAAATACTACATTAAAAACAGTTTGATTAAGAAGTTATTTTAAGGAGAGATACAAGGGGATATTGATATTACAGAATTTATATTCAGAATTTCATGTATCACAGAAATGTTTAACTAAGACAATCTCAGCCAAACATGTAGAAATCCTTTGCTTTTTTAAAGATTTTATTTATTTATTTTGACAGAGAGAGATATAGCGAGAGCAGGAACACAAGCAGGGGGAGTTGGAGAGGGAGAAGCAGGCTTCCCACTGAGCAGGGAGTCTGATGTAGGGCTCGATCCCAGGACCCTGGGATCATGACCTGAGCCAAAGGCTGAGCCACCAAGGCACCCCCAGGTAGAAATTCTTAAAGTTTCATAAATTTGGTTAAGATTTTTGCCAAATTCCAACTGAAATCACAGTTCTAACTTGATGTCCAAATATTTTCTTTCCATTCTTTTCATGTTGGAAATTTATTAATATATTCACAGTACTACCACACAAATAGAGGGATTAAATGTGTGATTCTTGTTTAGCACTGAATTCTGTCTCTACTTTCAGTATTCTGACAACTGATTAATTTGAAAAAAAACTATAAAATTAGTAGATTCTGCCTTATATTTATTGTCGTGCTAGATCACCAATGTCTCATATATTTAACTTGTTGAGATGACACTCTTTTCAAGTTATTAGCATACCAAATGATCCTCCTTGAGCATGACAATGTATTGATTGTATTTATAACATACATGAGAAAACTATGTAGGCCCAATAAAGAAAAAATTCATATAAATAAAACTTATCCATTTAAAATAATCTAGGTACACGATTAATTTTTTATATTAACACACTCATATTAAAAATTAGATTGAACAAAAAGCCCTCAAAACAACAGCTATTTACCATGACTACCTTCTTCCCCCACGAAGACACCAAATTGACAACAATTTGTGGACCAGAACACTTCTGTGAGAACTCTAGAGACCAAGTGAGAAGATACAGCACCCAGGCCATTATAAAACCAAGAAGCGAGTCCAGTGAAAGGGTAGGAATATTATCTGCATTTGGCACATTCATTTCTTCCCCTTTCCCTACGCAGCATAGCAGAACAACCAGTCGGAAACTCTCCATACTGGGGATCCTCCTTTAGGATGGAAACAAGAGTTGACTATGTATCTAATGTTCTAGCTTGACCCTGGGCTGCTCTAGGGAGTGGTTTCTTTCTAATCTGACACAGAACACTGACAGAATCTGTGGCAGAGTTTGCAAACTTCTGGAAACAGGTGAGCACCAGCACACATTAAAGCTGTAGTTCTGTAGATAGAAATGGGAAGGGGGCAGGTTGGAGGGCTGGGGACCAGAAAAGGTTTGAGAAGTCCCAGAACCTCTAGCCGGGCAAAGGCTTTCCCCGCACAAAGTCAGGACTCAGAGACTTGAAGGAGGTTATTTTTTCAAATACCCAAATCCCAGCAAAAAAATTATGAGGTATTCAAAGAAACAGGGAAACATGACCCAATCAAAGGAACAAAATAAAACCCCAGAAACTGACCCTAAAGAAACACAGATCTATGAGCTCCCTGTAAAAGAATTTAAGATAACTGTCATAAAAATGCCCAGTGAGCTGAAAGAGAAAACAGATATACAACTAAATGAGATCAATGAAACAATGCATGAATAAGATGAGAATATCAGCAAAGAGATAAAAACTGTAAAAAGAGAAATCAGACATAAAAAAGAAGAAAATGCTGCTCTTTGTGACAACATGGATGAACCATGAAAGCATTATGCTATGTGAAATGAGTCAGACAGAGAAGAAAAATACTGTATGATCTTATTTTATGTGGAATCTAAAAAGCTCAAACTAAGAAACAGAGAGCAGGTTGGTTGTTGCCAGGGGCTAGAGGATGGGGGTTGAGGAGCTGTTGGTCAAAAGATACAAACTTTCGGTTATAAGATAAATAAAGGAGATCTAAGGCACAGAATGGCGACTATAATAACATTACTATATTGTATACTTGAAATTTGCTAAGACAGTAGATCTTAAATGTTCCCACTATACACACACAAAAGAATTATATGAAGTGATGGATGTGTTAACAAATCTTATAATAATAATTATTTATATATATAAAATATATCAATTGATATAAATATATTCATTTGATTATATATAACAAATCATCTATTCGTAGACCTTAAACTTACATATTGTTATTTGTCAATTGTTTAATGGGTATAAAATTTCAGATTTGTAAGTGGAAAAAATTCTGGAGATATGTTTCACAACATTGTGAATATACAGAAACTATATTTTTAAAATAGATAGTATTGGGGTGCCTGGGTGGCTCAGTCAGTTAAGCATCTGCCTTTGGCACAGGTCATGATCCCAGGGTCCTGGGATTGAGCCCTACCTCGGGTACCTTGCTCAATGGAGAGCCTGCTTCTCCCTCTCCCTATGTCGCAGCCCCCCCCCATCCCTGCTTGTGCTCTCTCTCTCTCTCTGTTAAATAAATAAATAAAATCTTACCAAAAAAAAAAAAAAAAGTAGTTAGGATTGGCAATATTGTTCTTTTTAAAATATGTTCATTTTTTTTAAATCCAACAATTCTTTCACATAGTGTGAATTCATTGAAAAATGTAACTGTAGTTTTATCATAAAACTACCTGGGTTCAAATATTGGTTCCATGCCTAACTGAGCCATGTGATCCAGCACAAATTACTGAATCTATGAAATCTTCGATTTCCTTATCTCTAAATCTATCTTGATTATAAGACCCTCCTCATAGGTTGGTTGTGTGACCTCCCTTTGTTCTTGCATGACAAATAGTCAGAATTACTGTCAGAAACATTCAGCATTCAACAAATGTTATTGGGCCTAGGGAGATTAGTTATTCTATTGCTCTAGTCTTACAATCTCATTATTAGAAGGGGAAGAGATAAGAACTTCCATTTTAAATGGCTCCTTATTTAAAAATTATCAAGAAGGAACTTTAAAGAGTTCATTATTGAAAAATGAGAAAAGCACAAATCACTGTACAAACATTATAATAGTAAATATTGCAGTGGAAAGAATTTAGAAGCACTCATTTGAACTTAAAATATCATAGACCTTCCATTACCACAAGTCTCAAAACATTTTGCATTTTTATTAGTGTTTAATAATAATATATACTTCTCAGAAGAAACAATTAATGTCTTCCACCTCCCACCAAGAAGAGTAAACACTTTGATTACTCAACTTCATTTGTTAGAAAAATAAAGCAGTGGAAATATTTTCTCCTACTGAGTCATACTTTGGCAATTAAGGCATAGTTATTCTTCAAAAGAAAAATGTAACTTACCACGGTCAGAGGAGTATTATATTTAAAGCAATAGAAGTAACCTGTCTTGCAAATACAAGCAAATTTATTTATTTTTACATATAATACTTGCTTTTGGAATACTGAGAAAATATAAAAACAAAATAAATTATTGAATAGTTAATCAGTTCTATAACTAAACTCTCTATTTTTGTTTAAAGATTTGCTAACTGATTTGATCAACACCAAAAGCCCACGGTGTAATGCTTTACTTAACGTACCAAAATAATTTGTAATAGTATAAAACACATTTTGAGAAAGATATTTTAAGCACTGAAAATAAATTTAAGTTTCTCAGATAAAAATAATTACTATATTTTAAGCATTGTGTTTTCCTTTTACATGTCATTTGAATAACAAAATTTGGAAAATATATCAGAAGCTTTCACAGGAATAGAAACCACAAGAGTGGATACTGAGCTAACAGACATCCAAATTGAGGATACATTTAAAAAGTGTTAAATTCTCAACAATCCAAATAATACTTATAAATTAAGGGAAAATATAAAATCTAAAAGTAATCTAGAATAGGAAATCAGTTATATAACTAAAACCTCTCTTTTTTTTTTTTTGGCTCAGTGTTTGTTAAATCATTTGATTAAAATGTGCTGGTAATATTGCTGTGATGTGCTAGTCATCTGAGCTACAATAACTTTCAAAATTAGAAGACCACAACAACTCAGAAGAACACATGATAGGAACTAGAGCTTGCCAAAGGGACAACATCAAGTGCACTCCAAATGTTCCTCATCATAGCCTATAGGAAGGCATAGTGCAATTCAGAGCTACCTTCTCCACAGGCCGTGAATGATTGCAAAGGTTAAAAATCAACTGGTGGGTATGAAAGTTCCTCTGACTTAAACATCTCATGAACCAGAAAGGGTGGTAAGTCTTAGACAACTCTATGGACCTACATTCCAATGTTCTACAACGGATGGACCCATTTACAGGAGTTACCACCCTGAGAAATGCACAAGAAGCCTCAGCCAGTATATAGTTCTCCCAGTGCAAGTGTAATTTTTTTTTTTTTTTTTGGATTAAAGACATTTGGAAATTTTTATTCAGGAATGCCAAATGTTTTCCTGGAACGAATGTGTTTTCCAATAGGAAATGCTGATATAATTAAAAGGCATTAGTGTTGATAAAGAAGACCATGAAAACATTTGCGCCATGTGTGGTCACCAAGAAAAGAGTTCTAGTGGGCCTAAAGTATATGTCAAATAAATGAATCCAGTAGCATGAATCAAAACATTTACATGGAAGAACAGATAGCATGAGCCAGATTATGAGACAGATATATATTCAAGGCGCATGACCAGGATTACACAGGTGGCTAAGTTTTATAGACTACTTTGTTCATTTGGAAAATAGTCAAATGTAATCTAATTTCCATTTACTGGCATTTATTGATAAATAAAGGATTTAGGGCAGCAAATGTCCTTTCAGATACACACCAAAATTACGTAATAGGTAACAGATGCCAGTGTAGCCAAAGCAGTATGATTACACTCCAGTTTTCCCACACTGCAGTTAAATGGATGGTAAACTGTCTGGTATTATTTCTATATATATCATACTGTCTATTCTCAAGTTTCACAAAAAAATTCTTCAAAACTAGATTACAGAATTTATTAATCCATAAAGGATACTAAAACTATTATTCAACAGAACTCAAACCCAAACCCTAGAGTTGACTGTTGACTATATTCAGTTTGGGCTTTTCCAAGACTGGAAAATTTTCCCAAACTATTTCTCCCTTATATACCTAAAACACTAGTACATCCACCGTGGTTCTCTTATTTTTCTCTGGGGAGCCAGAAGAATTTGCCTCTCCACCTCCTCCACTACCCATTCTATTAACTATACAATTGCTCTAAATATCCACCGAAAAGAAAGAAGTATATAAAAAACCACAACCTTCAATATTTAAACCATCATCTTTTCAAATCAACTGCAATGGGGAAAGAGAGGATATCATGCTCTGCAAGGTTTGTGAAAGGTCAAAACTTTCTTCTTGAAAGTGAATACTAGAAAGACAAGGTTAATTCTCTGTATTTCTAACGGGCTAGCAAAATGTTCCCCATATGACTGACAGAAAATGTTTAAAACTTTATCTGCATGGGCTCCTAGAAACAAGCAGCACCAACAAATTAATTACAATTCCCCAAATAACGATTCTCCATTTAAATTGTTTTCAAGCACCTAAAACTCTTCAATAGCAAAAGATATTAAGACGAGATGTTAGCAATGCTGTCCCTGGAATACTTTTGTGTGCAAATACAAAGTTCATCCAAAGTCTTAGCAGACAGCTCATAAGACTTGTGGTTTCTACCTTGGTGACAACTATGTGCAACTACAAACAAAAATGTTTCTCTAAATAGATGGCTCTAATTAACAAACTAAAGAAACAAAAGCCTTTTTAAGGCTACTGCTGCAATAAATGGTTAAATCTGAAGGGCACTGGAATAAACTGGACAAAGATAAATCTGGAAGCATACAACAAGATGTTAAAAAAAAAGAAATAAAAGAGGGTTGAAGAGACTGGCAGACACCATCTGTCAGTATTAAAAGGCTTGAATCACATGGATTGCTTTTAACTCCTTGTTGTCTCATATCCTTCGTTAATGACATTTTTTTTTTTTCTTCACACAGCTTGGTCATGTAAATCCACCACAGAGAGGTGACACAATGATATAGATGAACACAACTGATACGATGATGATGATGATAGTGAGTTTGAGATTCTTCATACACATGGCTCGTGCAAGATTTCTGCTGGTTGTTTTGAAAGTGACAGACGAATCCACAAGATTTTCTGTTTTATCTATCAATAATTCCAATCTTTCTCCTCGCTGAGCTACCAGATCTATGTTTCTGACCATGATTCCTTTCAGTTCATCCACTTGGGCTTGAGTCTCCACCACTTTGTCTATGCCCTTATTCTCAGAGTGATGCTTCAACTGTGCAGCCAAGACACTTGAGAACTTGCTATTCATGGCATATGGGAGTGCTGTCTGTGCTCTCGAACCATACGTAGTCTGGAACCTCTTCTTTATCTCATTCAGAAAATTAAATGCTCGAGAACGTTCAAAATCATCATCAGTGATACAAAGATATACAATCCTGTCTTGGCAAATGTAATGAAACAGATAATTGCCATGTGAGTACGTTAGTTTATTTTCAGAAGGTATCTTAGCCAGAATCTGCTCTGTCACCTCCAGGAAGTTTCCTCCACACCAAACATGTTTGGCAAGGATAGTCGTTCCCCTGGCAACGACTGCAAAAAGAATGGCCATGGCTTCAATCTGTCCGTGCACCCCCTGAGAGCGCGTGGGCTCAGAACCGAGGGGCGCAAGTCTGAGCCGGGCCGCCGACTGCCCGCTCCCAGAGGAGGCTGGGCTGCAAGTATAATTTTTAACATAAGCAAAAATTCAGGGTAACATAATTGACACAGATCTTTTTCTGTTTCCAGGATTTAGAAAGCTAACCAAAGGACAAATGCCTTTGCAGAGCAAAGGTTTTTGTTAACCCTTTACTCTCAGGTATTAGGACCAAGGATGGTCTCTCAGATCTTGACTAAGAGCTCTTCCAATACAAAGGATGTTAAGTAACATTAGAAGCCAAAACACAAACTAAGATGTTCTAATTACCTGTAAGAATATTTAAAATAAGATAAAAAAAAGAAAAAAATTTCAGATATAAATTATGTATTCATACTATTTATAGGAAATTATAATATTGATACTCTTTATTCAAAACTAAGAACTAGATTTTCACCATTAAACATAGAAAATCCAGGAGCAAGCTTTATAAATAGTTTGTATTTTTTGTACATTTTTCTAACAATGTTTCATTATAAAAGAATGACACTTGAAAAATGCAGAGGTTAGAGGCATTGACCCCCCGTGCAGTGGAAAATACATATATAATATCTGACTCTCCCAAAACTTGACTACTAATAGCCTACTATTGAGTGGAATCCTTACCAATAATGTAAACAGATTAATACAAATTTTGTATGTTATATGTGTTTTATACTGTATTTTTACAATAAAGTAAGCTATAATAAAGAAAATGCTATTAAGAAAATCATAAGGAAGAGACTACACTCTAACAATACTATATCATATTTATTGAAAAATGTCCACATGTAAGTGGACCCATGCAGTTCACACTCATGTTGTTCATGCATCAACTGTATTGACAAAGACCACAGAATTTAAGATCCACACAAATTATGGGCAATCAATTGTTTTAAATAATCAGTTTATTCTCAATAATGGATTATTGAGTGAATGAGCACAAAAATTAGAGTTTCGTCTTAGTATAAAATATTTTTGTTAGTAGTGATAAAAAATAATTAAATCTTATTCCTAGGTTCTAAAATTCACATTATAACTGGAGGTCGGGGAATAAAAATAAAACACTTTTTTATAGTACCATAAATAGTATATTAATCGAGGTATTTTAAAATGCTGTGAGAATAATTCAAAGGAAAGATTACTTATGTTTACATCATTCAAGACAGATTTCATTGAAGAGCTGGCATTTGAGACTGGCAATGGGAAAAGTGTTACTAAGTAGTGAAGGCTATTTCCCCCAAGGAAGAAAGCAGAGTAACTTTACAGAGATATAAAAACATTTAGCATGTTCATGGAAATGTTGTTAATTACTTGTTGGAAGGTAGAGCAAGAACATTAGAGACTAGGAGTTGAAACTAAACTATGCTAAACTCAAAAATCAGGGAGTGGGACAGTGGTGGTAAGGAAAAATAAACAATTTTAAAGAGGCACCAAATATGAGTGAGATGTGTTCTGTACAAGAATCCTATGCAGAGGCTTTTGCAGTCTGTACTATAAATATGGAACCTGAGACCCCAAAACTTTAAGTCACTTTTTCAAAAGCAATTTTCATTAAATATCACCACTAAATTTAAACCTAAGCCTGTCTGACTTCAAGTTGCAAGCTCTTTCCACTAACCCATTCAATGAGATTGAGTATCCTTGTGTGTGTCATGCCAATTGCTCAGATTTTTCATGTAAGATTTAAGGAGTCACTTAAATTGTTTAAAAATTCTTGAAAGTGTGATCATATGAAAACAACAACAATAATAATCCTGGAAGAGAGTAACAGAATTCTCATGATGTAGCAATATGTCCACAAAAAGCCACTTTAAAACAAGCTTGTACTGGTGTATAGGTATTTCCCTTGTTGGGTTATGGTAATTCTCAAGAAATCTATCTACCCATTCACATTTATGTTCAATACTTTGTCTTTTTTCTTGTGGGGGGGAGTTCATTGATCTCTGGCAGCTCAAGTTAACAAAGTGTGAAATGTATAAAAATATAACTTTACTACTCTGTGTTTCTTTTTTGATTCTAGTTTAACAGAATTTTTTTTTTTTCTTGTGAGTGCTTGGGCCGCCAGCATCTCAAAACGTGTTCTAACATTGAGAATTGAGATGAGTGAGATTGCAAAGAAAATCAGGGCAATTTATTTAATCATTCTCTGGGCATACATAGTAATTTAGAGAGTGTAGAGTGTCTGGGGTGCAATACTTAAAGAAAGTGTCCTAAATCAATCAGACTAGCTAAATCTTTCTCCATGAGTTGTTTTTAAATCCCATCAGGAAATAGTTTCAGTGTGTAGTGTGTTTGAAGCGTGCTGTGAGAGGTAAAGTTCCTTTGGCAGAAATTTCTTCTCTCTTCTCATTGCAGTCTCTGATCAGTTTGTAGTGGCTTATCATTGTTAAAATCATGAACAGGAAATAGGATGAATAATATCCTATTTTAAGACTGCAGGAGTCAGAGAGTATCACTGACATCAGAGAAATGTTACTCCTTTCAAAAGAGCAAACATGGTGGCGCCTCGTACAAGGACCCAAATTTCCTATTCAGATAGATAATGGGCTGACCCAGACATTTATATTTAAAAGTGAGGAAGCCATTGGCAATTTTAATTTACTTTTAGATACTGACCCTATTACATTCTAGGGACAAATAGCTCCAAAAATATCATAAGGATGGATATAGAACATAAACTTGTGCCATAGATGAAAACTTCTTTTTATCTTTCCAAGATTTTATCTGAAATAATTGGTAAGCAAGTGAAATGACTTCAGTTCGACTAAATTGACTTTTCTATGTGCCATTTGCAGTGTTTATATATATGGCAAACTATAGCAGCACTAGGAATTTGAATCAAAAAACCTACTTTGGAAAGGAACTGCATTCAGGATAATCAAAAACTTCTGAAATGAGTCCTGTTCATTTTCAGGCTATTTGCTGTTGCACCTGTTCAGACACTGTTCCAACTGGCTTGTGCTTTAACCACTCCCTCAACACTCTTGATTAAGAACACGGCTTCATCAAACAGGTTGGGAAATTCTCACACCTGTATTTGAGTTTAGATTTTCTCCTTTCCGAGAATGATCTTAAATTTTGTATAGAAAATTTTGCACTCAGTTATTTCTCTGCATCTGTCTCAGAGGCAGTTCTAACCTAAGAGATGTTATGTGCTACCTACCCACCTCTCCATACAATGAAAAGGAATAAACTGCTTTCACCAGACATTTAACCTCCTGTATTTGTCCAGAACTGTGGGAGACTAACTAATGAATAGGGGATTTTTGTGGGCATTAGCTTTACTGTCAGGATCACCTGGAACTCAAAGTCCAGCTCTATCACTTACTGGCTACGAGGCCTTAGTTAAGCTACTTTAGCTTGTTAAACCTTGCTTTATTTGTCTGTAAAATGGGTAAAATCATTCATCATTCACATGGCTTTGTGGATTAAGTGAGATTATGTAAATATTCTAACAGAATTCCTAATGTGTAGGAAGTTCTTAGTAAATTGAGGTACAAAGTGTTCTTTAATTTTAAACCCAGGGAGATTTAATCCTACCCACACCCAATTCAATATTGATCTATAATAAGTGTCTCTTTCTCTTGCCATGTTGGGACTTTCTTCAGCAGCAAAAATGTCTTCCTCTCTCTCCCTCCATAGGTCCTGGCAGATTATAAATTTTTCATGAATGGCAATTCTATAAGTATGCTACATAATATGTAATGTTTTGGGAAATAACATAGTCACATGAAATGAGAAATTAAAATTCTTGTGTTTCTGAATGTAATGCTCAAAGCATGAGGAATGGTTTAAGGAACCACATAATAACATAGAAATGAATGAATGAATGTTTATAATTATTATAGCCAATCAAGTAAATGGGTATTTTTCACTCCAGTATGTAAAATGCTCTGAAGTCAACTTTAATCCACATGACCAGGATCATTCTATAGGCAATTAGCTAACAGAACTTCTCTAATCCTGTTTGAAGGTTAACAGTGGATATGAAATCCAACTTACCACAATATCATCCTATTCTTATCCATTAAACCATCCATATATTTTCATGCACATACATTTTCCATTAAAATATATCTTTTCAAAAAATAAGATATAAATATATACAGTATTTGGAGGAAAAATATAATTTTGTAACTATATTTGTATATTAATTTTATAAGTTGAGGGGGGATGGTTAGCCTGGTGATGGGTATTAAAGAGGGCACGTTCTGCGTGGAGCACTGGGTGTTATGCACAAACAATGAATCTGCATCAAAAACTAATGATGTAATGTATGGTGATTAACAAAATAATAAATAAATAAATAAATAAATAAATAAATAAATAAGTTGAAAGGCCATGTTGTAGTTTATACCAAATCTCCATACATCCTAATTTGACTTGATACCAGAACATTACAGGTTCGAATACATCAGTGCCATTGAATTCATAATATCTATGCGAGTCTACACATTATATGCTTTAGCCCATAAGCAGTGGCAGACATAAGAAAATCCCATTTCAGACACAATGCCATGAAGTAACTCAATGTTTCTCATTACAACTATACTTCCAGATTTATTTCCATAATATGGAATATGACGTCTCAATTCGCAATAGAAACTCATGCCTTAAAATAACAACAAAAACAAAAACCTACAGCCACAAGAATCATTCATTTTTAGGACTTGTGTGTTTTTAATTCTTCACGGTCTGTGCTACATTGAAGGTGGGAGATAAGAATTTAGAGCTAACAAGGAATGTCATGTGGTTATTTTCGGGGATACTTAGCATAAACATATTTGACTTTTGAAAAAATCATTTTGTATGTCTCATATAATTTCTCTGCTAAAAAAAACTGAGAGAACACTTCATCTTCCTGGCCATAACAGTGGATTAAAATATACGCAGATGCAATGCTTGGCTTATTAGATATTTCTGTGTATTGTTTTTTAAAGATCATTTCAGGTAGAAAACATATTTCATAATAATAAT